GAAGAAAAACTTGTCTATTTGTCTAGCATCGGTCAGCTTGGGCTCATCTTCAATCGACCTCTCTTGCTCTACTTCTCTCATTTTTTTTTTTCTTTAACCCTTTAACTGCAGGTACTTTTGGCACAGCCGATCGCTCTAATTTAAAATTATATTACTGAACTGATATTCTATTTTAAAAGATTTTTTTTTATTGTATTTATTTTATTTTTATTTTAGTGGTATATAAGCTACAGCCGCTGTTTAATATTAGCAAAAATTAACATGTTGTTTATATACCACACTCGCCTCTGGCTATAATTTTAATATGTGGTTAATAAACCACACCTGCAGTTAAAGGCTTAAATTTAAATTCAGAATTTATCTGTGAGCTCGAAAAGCTGACCGATTCTAGTTTGAATAACGAACCGAGATATCCCCAAGGAAAGATATTAAATGACCCAACAGGATCCAGATAAAATATTTTCAAACGTGATATCTCGTCCGTTCTCATGAATTTTAAAAACAATATATGGAGCATTTGTTAATCACGTTTAATGGAACTGATATTGGATGCTAATCATAAGTGATTAAATATTTCTTTAATTATTATACAAATTTCCATTAAACGTGATTGCAGCATAATGTCTTACCAAGCAGGATGGGCCAGCACGAACAAACACGCAAAGCAACAATGATCCTGCGATCATTCGTTAGTACGCTGTTATCGTGTTTCTTTCGAACATATCCAAGGTAAAACGCTGTTTGATCCGTGATTAACAACCGTTCTTAAGACGCGACCTTATTTCCAAATTAAAAGAATCTTGCATTGAAAATCTTGAAAGACTTTCGAACTGCACGCTTTTTATCATCATGGTCGCGACCTGCTGTGGGTTGGTAAACACAATTGGAACCAATGGAATTTGTACCAAGGAACACTTCTTAACACTTTATCAACCCACTATTTCAAATTTATCATTTTTCACAAAGGGTCTTTTGCTTCTAAGAACATTTATTCAAATTCGTACAAATCCCAGGAACAGGAAGTGTTCCTTGTTTCAACCAGTTCCGTGTTCCTGTTTCTCTTAGGTAAGCGGTACACGATCTCTGAGCAGTAAAGAAAAACTATAGCAAGGTGTTTCTCACCTGACGATGGATTGGACCATGTAAGTTTGAGTTTGAGAATCGAGCTGAGAGATATGAGGTAAAGCCATGTGGTATACATGGTCGCCACCTCGTCGATTATTGTGCCGGATATTGTGACATTGTTGGCAATAGCGAATAGGGTGGTTTCCATTATAACTGGCACATTCCGTAGAGAAGCATACACTGATCGCTGATTTGTCCGTGGCTCTGCAGTTCTTCGTGTAAAAATCATTTATAAAATCATCCTCTTAATTGTCACTGTTCATTAGCGCAACGATACTTACTTTGTTTTCGCATATCATGGACACCTGTTGCATAGGATGCAAAATGTCGTAGAACATCTGATTCGGATGTTCCCTGTGTATCTCATTGGCGCATTCGATGCAAAGGTACAAGGGCGGGGGTGTGTCTGTTGCAAAGGTGATGGATATTCGATGGTCGTAGCAAACTTTACCGGCTTCCGCGTTACCCGCGTTGGGGCACGTGTCTCTTTGGCAGACGAAGGGTGTCAGGTCGTCTGAAATCGCGTTCAAATCCAATAATACATTTTTTCATAAATCGATATACGCAGTGTTGAATTAGTACGTACTCGCGAACTTCATTAAGACTGCTCTTCGATCGAATAGATTCGGGTTGAACGATGGCCAGTAGTAAAAGAGTAGTTTAGCCGCGGATGCTCTGGCTGGCGCCGTTCCGTATGCAACCACGCAGAGAATGTCTTTCACCACGCCTGGTTTCAGCGCCATCAAGCACTCCAACAGTTGGCAATGGTGTGCTGAAATAGGGTCGTTCTTTGTGAATATTAAAAAAAAAGAAAGATCACTTCTTTGATACTTTTCAGTCATGATTTGTTTCTCATCGTTGAAGGCTAATGTTAGATTTCGTTGATACCTGCGTTGTTGGAATATTGGAAGATCATCATAATGACAGCAGCTATCGATTGACTTGCTGCATTCTCATTCCCATCTTCGGTCTTTCTCGCTGCAATTGAATGAACATTTAAAATTCGTAGCTGAATTGTATCTATCGGATTTGAACAACTCACCAATGGTGAATGGTAGAATGTAGAAGCAAAGATAATTGACGATGTCTTGGTGGAGATCCATCGGAAGCACGGAGATCGAGCTGGCTGTCAAATATGGTACGTTGTCGATCAGATCGTGATCCAGGAAAGGCAGTATACATGCTAGACACTGTAGCAGAGCTTGGCCAAACGCTGTAACACAAATTTAAGTTTGTAATAATTATCTATAAAATTAACAACATGATCAGACCTTGTAAACCATTGTGAATGGAAGGAACAACATCGATCAGCTGAGTGAGGGCATTGTAAAGTTGTTTATAATCCAAATTCGGATAAAGAGCCATGCGTTCAGCGTCGAACTTTTGCGATTTGATCATCTCGAATGGTGGTTCGCGGACTTCCTTCAGCAAAGCTGAAAATAATCCACGAATGAATGATAAGTCACTCACGCTGATTAAATATTCTTACATAACAACATTTGAGAGCAAGATTTCACTGTATTCGCCATATCGAGGCCAGAAGGTACAGGCTGACTGCCATGAAGAAGCCTCTGATAATAATCGTGTAGGCTAGTCAGCTTCAAAGAATCTGAAACATATAATTATTTTCTCAGTAGAAAGATTCAGAGACAATATATAAACACTGTACTTACATGACGCGAATCTAGTCCCCATTTTATCGAATTTTCACAGAACACTGACAAATTAATTATTTTCTCAGTTATTATATATCTGCATCATTTTGTCCATTCATCCTCTTCGTTAAATTTAAATTATTGAAGAAACAAAATATACATGTAGGTGGATAAAAGGTGGTACACCCATGATGTTGGAAATTTATATTACATCGCGAGTGTAACTCTTTATGTTTGATTATTAATGGTTTTTCGAATTTTAAAAAACGCTGTCGCGTCGATTAAAGATGGAAAATGAAAGACTCTTGTCTTTGACATGTTGTTCAGCTGCAGAATCAGCACGGGTCCATTGCAGATTACGTGTCAGTAGAAAGTTGAGCGCGCAGGTCGTATCGACCTGTTCGAGAATGCGGCGCCCTCTCATCTTTTCATCCCCTTCAGGGATGGAACTTGAATTCCCGGGAAAATCCAACCATCTTAACGAGATTTCCATCAATTCTACATTTTACTCGTCATTTTTCCTTCACTTTCTGTTCGCATTTTGACGCTTTTGTTCTTCAAGTTTTCAAGGTAACTTGTCGAAGACAAATGAATCGTTTCCAAGCGTTTTAATCAAGATGTAATTAGATATCGTTACGAGTACTTCTTTTAACCGGAGTTATGTCACTCGTTTAGCAGCAGAAAGTAGTATCAAGACGCGTTATGCAAGAAGCTTCTCTACAATTACGTAAGCCTGATCATACGAGGTTTGACAATTATTCCATAATGTCATTATCCCTGATCCAATAAGCTGCAATTATGCTTTTAAGAGATTACCACGCGACGATGAAATTACAGCGATGTTTTATTGGTAAACGAGGCGCTCTTGTTATTGAGCTACTTATTTTAAGAGAGAAAAAGAAGTTTGTCAACGACATCGATAAGATAAGCTGCTGCAGCACGCAGTGTATTGCAAGATAACGCGTAGTACTTGCAAACTTTCCAATCTAATTCTGAATTGACTGGTAAAATCTTGAAAACTCGGTGCATTGGATAACATTTTTGGAAGCACCAAAATTATGATGTCTCATTGGATATGTTAAAAGAGGCATCGTGAATTTCGAGGACGTAATTCGTATTAAAGCACCGTCGAGCACGGTAAGTGTGTCACGAGGGGTCGATTCTAGGTCGGCCTATAACGTATGCACTGTGCACCAACGATCGATATTATCTAAATACGATGCACACCTGCGACTCGGTGAAGTCATTCTCTGGAATACGCGGTAGCTTTGCCAGAGCAAAGTCGCGAGTCACGTATTAAAATAATCCGCAGCGACACCGGAAGCCGACTCTAAATAAACCTTCCGCCGCAGCACGCCGTCTTGCACGCCATCGCGGATCGATCTTGATGCTTCTCCTTTGTGCTACAATCGAATCGGAATCATCGTCTATAACCCTGTGACGTCGTCGTTTACGCGGAACCATGAATAATACCTTCGTACACGTCAAAGAAGGATTATCGATTTGAAAAATCATAGTACTAGAAATAAACTTTATCGCGTTCGAATTCCATAAAGAATGATTCAGATATTAAAAGCTTCGATGGAGATTCTTAAAATATTCCATAGGGGATGCTCGTAATCAGACAGATACATGTAGCAGTTATTAAAAGCATAATAGAAACGTTTCTCCCCTTGATAAAAATTCCTGAAACGTTCCAAGGGTAGAAGGAAAGAAGGGATCGGTGTAGGACTGCTCCGCGATAAAGGGGATGTAACCCCAAGTGTGCGAAAGGGTCCACGGACGAAGGCAGGTGACTGAATCGATTTCTGTATCTCGAGAAACGATTGCACCAGCAACGCAAATGTGTTAAATCACGTGGAAAATTAGGAAAAATTTAAAGAGAGAAATTGTTAAACAAAGTTAAGTGAAAAAAATGAAAAATAAATGATGGAAAGGATAAATTAAAAGCAATACAAATACCGAGAAATCAAAAAGGAAAATAATGCAACAGAGCATAATTGATGTATAAAAAGAAGATACAACAAAAGGTAAAAAAATTGAAGATTAAAAGGAAGGTTGAACAAAAGTGGAGTTAGTGGGAATCGCGAGGGGTGGTAAAGAGGGTTGAAACGAAGAGGCGAATCAGGAAGAAGGAGGGAACGATGGATATAGAGGAAAGCCGGGTTGCCTAGGACACCACATGGACACTACGCTTGCGACGTCACGACGCACGATGGGGGTGAAAGCAACCCTCGGAGCCACACAGGCGTCTTAGAAAACAGTGCTCGCGGGGCAAGCCACGTTGAACGTCGTCCGCCGTGAATCGCACGCTCGCTCGCCTCGACTTCCAAATATTTTCATCCCCGTAATAAAGGTATGGGAAACTAAACATCCCTCCAAGTTGTAATCTTTGTGAGAAAATTTTAACAAAAAAACATGTGCTTTGAATTGATTGGAAACAGGTAACGAGATTCATTTTCCATGTGTGAAGTTTGTCACCCTCAAAATTGTTTTTTTTTTTTAAGTGCTGACTTTGAATTATTCAAAAGTGATATTTTTGATAGATAAATTTATTTTCAGTATTTCTTATAGATTGTTATTTTTATGTAATAATTTTTAATCGTACAAAAGTGAAATTTTTGGTGAGTGAGAAATTCTAAAATCTGAATTTCAATCTTAATTTTAAAAGCTGTAAGTATAACACGATACCATAGTCACCCCTCCGGTTGAAAATCTTCAGAGGGCTGTGATTCTCCTCCAACCCTCGTCAGAAACGTCGCTTAGGGTTTCGCTGTGGAAAAAGCATCTGCAGTTAAAAGAAGTCAAGTCATAGGGATTCGTTCTACATTTTCTTCTAAAATCCTATAACGCATATCAAATCTAAAAAAAAAAACTACCCCTCATCATCAATTTCTGCTGACGAGTATTTCTCCAAATTATCTCAATAAATTCCTCTCTCTCTCAACACAATAAACAATTGAAGCCGATAAAGTATCGAACACAAAAAGGTGATTAATTGTTCCGAGAAAAGAAAATCGATCAAAAATCGTTTCGTTAAGCGATGATCGTTCATTCACGCGCATTCGTCATCAGCGTGGCTGATCTTGTAAATTGATTAACGCCACCCTCGGTAAGATAGTGCTTTCCGGTGGCCGGTGAGATAATAAAAAGCAAACAGATGAATCAACTGAGGTACAAGGCCAATGGAGAAGGGTGGAGGGTGGATGGGCGTTCGAGAGGGTGGGCATCCCTTAGGTTTTAGCCTGTCAACGGGCATAACGGAGCTGCAAGGGTCCATGTGATTTGATTATGTTGGTAATACGGTCCGTATGCCACCCCTAATTGCTGCGGCCTACCCCCCACGATGCGATCTTTTCGCAACACTGACGCTGGAATTCCTTTCGAAGGATGTTACGGTAGCTATAGTAGATCTATTTTTATTTCCGGGGTTAGAATCATTTTATCGAAAGAATATAAAAATTTTACTACCCTTAGAATACATATTTTACATTATATTATGTATAATTTTAGAAGATTCACGTAATGTCTGAAAGTCATCACAGATAAAATTATAGCGCATCATTCTTATAGCAATCGTCTATAATTTCAAGCAACTTCGAATCGAAAGGTCAGAGGTTATTGTCAGAGTTCGACGTTTCGATTCAGACGGTCGTTCCTCGGCTTACCAACTCCAATTCATTTTTCCGTTTCATTACAATTGTTCTCCAGGTTTATTAAATAACTGACCTTTCTTTAAAACTAACACATACATATGTGTGCACAAACGTCCGCAGTATAAAGATGATCGATACAATCGCCTTGTAACCAGAACGTATTAATCGTTACGCGATGGCGGTTAGGATAACACGAAAAGATGATGTCAGAATTATTGTTAGTGTTGTGACGTGTGCTGTAATTAGACGATGCGATTACACCGATGACGTTAGCATTGTTTTGCGAATATCGGCTCGATCAAGATAACTTATCGAACTTGTTTCATTAGTCGTTGACCCTTTACCTTGCGAAACTAATTACTAAGAAAATTTCTCGATTTTCCATCAGACGCGTTTGTCTAGGGGTGCTTCTGGAATTTCACCCCTCGAAAAGGAGTTACACCCATGTGGTGCTTGTGAGCAGACAGATTTGTCGTGGTTGCTGGTCGTTACAGGACGACTGTTTTCACGCGAGGATTAAATGCCACTCTCTTAAGTGCACCCTTGAAGAAGGGACGAGCACGAGTTTGTTTATTATACTTCAGGGTATCGTGCCTGATGTTTCTGATCTTGGGATTCCTCCCTCAGTATAATTTTTAATATTTCAATCGCATAGAATTTCTAAAAGTACACCTTCTGATCTGAAAGGTAAATTACACCTTCATAGGTGAGTTCAGGGTCAGGGCAAGGAACTTCGAGTGCTTGTCGTGTAGAATATCGTTAACAGATGCACTCTCGAGGCCTTGGACTTTGACTTCGTGACAGAGGTCGACGAACCGGTCTCTACTTCCCTATTTCAATCACCGAATAAGGCAGCACCCAATTACTTCTTAATTAGACCGAAGGAAAGGGGGATAAAATCGATTCTGAAATGATCAATGTCAACGGTATGTTTGTACCAATTACCAGGAAACATTAATGCAAATTATTTGAGATCGTTCTTTATTGTTGTTAGTAATCGTTTCGCTATTGTTCATTAACACGGTAAATCACTAAGTAGGTGGGGGGAATTGCGTCGATGACGTGGTAATAACAGTATATCGGTAAGTAATAGCCCGGTGAACCGGCTGCAATAACGTGTACGGCTGGCAATGCGGTAGTGTCGGCGTTCCATTGTAAGGTAGCCTTAAGGTGTGCTCACAGGGTCCGGTTACACGAACGTTCTCTCGCTCGATACGCCGGGCAACGTTGTGTTTCTTCTTCGGTATTGATTCGTTCCGTACCTATGTTCCGCGTTTAGAATGTAACTAATTTAGCAATATAAAAAGAAAGAAGAACGAGAATAGAATAGAATATTTAAAGGAGAAAATAAATTATAATCTTCGAGGAGGGTTGTTTTTCTTATGAAAATTTGTTTATTTTCCAAGAGATAAAGAGATTCATTTATCCTTCAGCCCGTCCTTGTCGGATAGGATCAAGGCGTGTCATCGTGAAAATAACCACGGAAAAATCTGTACAATGACGTCGCGCGGAGCAAAGGGGAGTGAATAAAAAGAAAGAGGAGGCGTAGGAAACAAAAGGACTGAGAGGCGAAAGAGCAACGCGTGAAAGAACATAGAAATGCCGTGAGTTCTATGGCCCCCTACTCTTGATGGCTCGCGTAGTATGCCGCGTATTTAAATAGAATATCAAGCCTCAAGGAGAAAACGCAAGGCTGCGGCAAGGACTCCGATCGTTTTATACACGCCTCGTGTCGGATCACTGCCACCAGCGGCCTACCAGAACGGCCGTCTAAACGGCCGGTTCAGCGCGAAAGTAGCTCATAAATAATTAATACGCACGCTGGTAGATCGAAACCGTGGCAATCGCTTTCAAACTATTAATATCCCACTCTTTTTCTTGATCTATTTTGCATTACAATATTTTATCCGCCTGCGTGTCGACGATCGCCGTGTGCCGCGACGTTTAAAACGTTATCAATCGAACACGCGATGTCGCGTGATAGGAAATTGGAATATAATTTCGATCTTTGTATACCTCGTGTCCTTTGCTTTCGAAAGGCCAACAGTCAAAGGGTGAATGCAACAGAAAGTTAGGACAAAGAGCCGTAAATTCTGGTTCGCCTTGGCGCATTGTTCGCGACAGAAGTTCCTGTTCCTTCTTCAAGGTCCCTCGATGCCCGCTTCATCGTCTGAGTCAAGCGAGTCAACGCGCCGTCCCTCGTGTTTTTCTGTCCTCGTAGTTATTCTCGCTTTCGAATTATTCGCAAAACGCGTCAACATCGTTCCTGATGACCCGTCGGTTGCACTCCGCTGACCATGAGGAACTCGACCGTCGAAAGATTGACTGCCACGTCCAGCGGGTCAAATAAGGAAGAAAGGAGCCTTTCTTCCGCTTCCTCTTCGCTTCGAATGATTGACGTTGGGTTTACAATATTAATATAAAGAAAAGATGATAAAATAGGCACTGTTATCATCGGTCATCAGTAATACCTATCAACGTGTCGATGCTATCACAAAGACCCCACGTGTCCTCATCTTTTGCAGATACACGAGTTGTTGGTACAGGAAGTTTTGTTCAGGGTTAATGAAACGAATATGGTGATTCCTGAACAAGGACCAGCTGCCGGACGATCGTTAATAGAAGGTCCTTTGTGATTTAGAACTGCTCCGACCTCCGTTCATCCACTTCCCTGTACGTGACTCCAGTGACTTTTAAAAATCGGTAAATATTGATGAAACAAACTAATCTGCAAAAATGTGAAAAATATCATTCCTGATTATAAGATAGACCGATGGATCATTGCGATACTAACAAGATCATTTTCGATTTCAGGTGATCCAAGTGCCTGCTCGAGTGTCTCTGATGCAGAGACACGATACATTTCACGTAGCATTTCGAGCGAAGGAGCAAGGATAAAGCATGTTTGGAGAATGTACGATCTCGTCCTCCTGGTAGGTGTTAATTCTGGGTGCAAGGGTAAATAGGTTCGTGGTTGGATTCAAGGTTCCCTTTACGGTGTTTTGCTTTATTTAGGGATTCGAATGAGGAATTAAAGGGAATCCTTGGGGGTATTGAACATTGAGAGTTTAACAGCTTAGCCGGTCTTTGCTTACATTCTCGCGTTTTCCTTTTGCAGATCCTCGATCGAGCAAGGAGAAGAGAGGAACAGAGAAGCTGAACAGCCTCCGAAAGGAGCGTATCAGAGCGATCGAATAATACGAACGAGAAGGTCTGGCGTGATTTAACGAGGAGGTATGCCAGTTCGACCTCCGTGCACCACTTCCCGGTACGTGAGTCAGGATCGCAGGAATCGGTAGCCATTTCGAGGATGAGTGCAAAGATATCCCTGGCTGGCCGTGGTACGGCACAGTCAGCGGTGAACCATCGTGGCAAAGCATCGTCGGGCTTGTTGCTCGCCGGTACGTCTGTGAAAAGGCCCTCCTCGTCGATGAGTAAGTTTAACGAGCGTTTTCGAACGGATACCACGTGGAGTGTCGTCCGTCGTGTGTCGTTCAGCCACGTGATTAATGAATTTTCACGTTTCAGTTAATATTTGTTTTGACAAAATTTCTTAGAGGATTCTTTGGTAATTTTAATTCGAGCCTGAATTCTCTGCAAGATGCAAGAAATACATGAAGTGTTTCATTTTAATATTTTAACTTACGATGAGTGTAGATGAAAGAAAATGGAAGATGATTTCGTTTACGAAAGAAACTCGTCGTATAAATCTTGTTTAAAAAAAAAGAAACCGAATTAACCTTGAAATAATGTTAGTATCTTGAAATTCTTCTTAACACAATATACTCTCCTACGCGTATTAGCTCATGGATTAAAATGGAACGTTCTTCTTTGCAAAATATTTTTCTTTCGTAAGCATCACCCTTCGAACGTGTTATTGCAATTTCTGAATTATTTACATTAGATTACACCTGTTTACAAATATATGAAACACTTCAATCAACCCTTTCGCTGCGAGCGTCGTTAAAAATCAACTTCAAAGAAAATAGTCTCACATTTGTTAAAATTTTAATTGACTCATTCTTCCAATCTTGATGTTGCAACGAGAGGGTTGACGCGCAAGATTTTGCAATTATCTCCTAGTATTAATGACGCGCGATTCGTATCACGGCCTAATGACACACACAGTACCACATCACGTCATGATATTACACGCGAGGATGCGTTCATTAGCCGTAGAGGTGACTGGCACCGAAGAAAGAGCCGTCAAACGAGCCGCTGTCCCAGAACTGGAAGCATCATCGCGTTGCTCTCGTCCGAACACTTTGTTAGAGAGAGGTAACAATATGCCTGCCTTGACGCGTGTCTGTACTACTGCCACTCTGCCCAGGATCAAGAGATTCAAATTTGCATCGATCGGTAAGTCAGCCTTATCTATTTGTTATTCGTACATCTTTGAATCGTTGTGTTTGAATTACCTGAATCATAGAATATGGAGGTTGCTCTGAAAGTTTTTAGAACTAAAACTATCTTTGAACATGGACAGTGAGTCACGTAGTTCTTCGCAATTTTGGTTGAAATTTTTGTTACGAGGATACCGCGCGGTAAAAAGCGAAACAATTAACTCGTAGATAATTAGCAAGGAAATAGTTAAGCGGGGGATGCCCTTGCGCAAGTTTTCGCTCGGAACGTCAGTGGTGCAGGTTAATTGCGAGCATGACGTCGTGCAAAATTCTGCTCGTGATTCATAACTGTCCGAACGAGTGTCGTTTTCCTTTCGATGACAATTCAGGTTACCGTTCGTGGCGCAACTGGCCAAGGATTATCAGTTTATCGACGATAATATTCAGGGAAGCGAATGAGCGCCGGCGATCGGGCGACGTTGAAATTTTCGTTGCTCGTTCGAGCGTGTAGAAAATCAATGTTTCAAAGCTTTTTTTTTTATCGTTATCTCCACGGTTTGTTGTCTCGCCTCGGTTGAATAATATTTTTCGACGATTAATAGACGATCGATCTCGCGGGGCCGTCCGATCGGCTCGGAAGGCGACGCGACGCCCTAATCGATATCGATCTCGCGAATCGTCGATCACTGGAGCCGTGTAATGAAACTCGGACGCGGCTCGAATACGTAATTACCGCGGAAATAGTATACCGGCCGACTGGTCAACGGCATAAATATAAATACCGCGGTCGGCCGTTGTGCAAGTAAGTCGAGCCGCTACACGCAGAATCGGTGAGTCAAGTTGTGTGTGACGCCACTCCGCTTCGAGAACCACTTTCTATCCGCTACGCTCGCGACATTCCGCTTCTCGCTCGAGCATCGATGTCTTGTTTTTTCAAAAAAGGAAAAAAAAAATAAAAAAGAGACATGTCCTTTCCACTGATCGATCCAGTTCATCCCAACGTTTTTGGAACTCGCATCTGAGATCGAGCTAATGAGTCTTTCTTAATTAGGAGCCCAATTACCGCATACCTTGTAACGTCTTGCAACTGAGCGAAACGACTTACACGGTTCGGTCAGATGTTACGATGTCTTAGGAATTTTTACTTAACACTTTGTAAGTCACGTTATTAACGATATAATCATTGCATAAATGGAACGTTAATTCGATTCGAAACAGACGAATTTCAGCAAGATTTCCGCGAGTTTCTGCGCAGATGCGCGGGCTGATTCGCGCGTGGTCATCCACTCCACGCCAAAGATAGACTCTGACATCATACACAGAAGCATCACTCGGGTCGAACGAGCGATAAACATACTTGTGCACACGAATGCCTTTACACGCGGAAGGTTTGTGTTTGAAACTGTCTCGATTGACGTATTCCAATGCACCCATCTGACCGACTTGCCTCTTGCAAAACACAGAACAATCGGCTTTTCAATGAATTCGCAAAAATCGTAGGTGTCGATGAAAGAATCGATAGAGTACACATTTCTAAAAATGATCGAATTTTAACGAAATTCTGTATATTTTTGGACCCGATAAGAAAATCAAAATTCTTAATTGCCAAATACATCGCGTCACTCGTGTTTACATCGCTTTTCCTTGATCTCTTAATGCGTGTTTCATGTTTTACGAGAGGGATTGCTGTAAAGACGAAAATTAATGCTTGTTCCATTTCCAAATTTCTTCCGCGGTGACGCTCTTTCACGTGAATATCACCGTTTTGGTACCGATCCAACTCGTAATTACGTTTTTTCAACTTTTGCAATTTCTCCAACAATCGCCCGCGTACCTTTGTTGTTCGAAAATAAATTTTAAATTTGGGCTCGTGATACATACTCGTCAAGCACAGATTTTATTATATCAAAAGATTGTGTCACAGCGTTTAATTATAGAAAGCAGTAATTATATCACATTGATTATGCTTTCGTTTCACTTTTACCCTGTTCTGGTGTAAAATTAAATCCACTCTCGTTTAATTAAAGTTACGTTTATCGTGGGTAGCTGCTAGCCACGTGGCGTCTGTTAATTGTATCACCCTTTAATTAGTAGGACAATACGTACTACCGTTTGTCGTGTACGAGATAATGAAACATTTCTCGTTACACGTGTCAGAAAAAGAAGAGGTGGTTTCGTAGTCGACGGGTTAATAGCCGAGAATTTTTCGGTACAACCACACCGAGATAGAAAATCTTATCTGACCCGATAGAATAATATAAAAGTTACGAGTGCATCGATTAGCAACGATAACGAAAAATCAGTTTGATTAATCGATAAACTTTCGAACGAAAAATGAGAAACAGATTCGGGTAGTGACATTGAGTCATATCGCAAAGTGTTTATTATTTTATATCACTTTTATTTCGTGTCCTTCTTATTTTTTTAACGCGTACCAGAAATATACTTGTCAATCACTGATAACACCAACGACAACACATTATTCCCGTACGATTAATTGCGCAATTTTTTTATTTTTCTTAATTCATTTCGAAGAAAAATAATTTTTTAAATTAAGATGAAGATTTCGTGAATCAAAGGAAAGCTGTTTTACTTTTGCTCGCCTGAAAAAACAGTTTACGTCTGTGATTCGCGGCGAATCGATTCAGCGAATCGATTCCTCGCAATCGATGGGAATCGCGCGAGCTTCCTGGGAAATGAGATCAAACCATCGCCGATGGAAATTTCTTTCTTCGAATCGGAGAAAATAAAAAGAGACTTCGATAATTCTGTAAGAAATTTAAAAAAGTAACATTGGTATAGATAAATGAGCTTAACGGGAGTCAAAGATATTCTGAAAAACATATTGATTACAGGTGAAATAAAAAATAATTGATAACCAATTCGATTAAATATTGAAATATTTTTTGATGTAGATAAAAAGGTGTTCTGAGTTGAAAAGAACGATATTTGCGTAAAGAAATTTCTAGTCCCGGTGTATCGTTCTCGACGATCGAGCATTCGATGCATTATTCATGATTATTCGCAAAAAAACACCGGCAATACGGTGAAAAAATACGATGGACGATAATATTGGAGTAGCGAGTGACACGATATCGATATCTGTGACGTTCACCGCAAGAAACGAAAAACTCGATCGGAAATGCGATTGCGATTTACAGAAATTTTGCAAAACGAAGGTGTTACCTTTCATCGTTTTCTTTGACATCATCAATTTCGCGACGATTTCAATTAACTTAGAATGCCGATGAATCGTAATCTCACATTGCAAATTTTCGCGGTCGCCTACTTGGTCTCTTTTTACAAACTCATTTCATTCGCTGCATCTCTACGCAATTTCGCAAATATTCATATTGCAAATTTTCGCGAACGCGATACCATTTCGATTCGCCGATTGGCCAATTATTCGAAACTCTTCCATGAAAAATTGCAAACACGTATTCGTGTTACGTTGTGACGAAAGTGCAAAACGAGGAAGCGAAGTTATGCCGCCTTATCACCCGGAAATGCTGATCAAATTGCAATTCGCGAAACAAGTGTCTCTCTCTCATTAGAGGGGAAGTGTTAATATTCGCCAGGACAAGGTTAATATCCTGAGGAGACGATTAAGTGGTCGACCACCTGTCGCGTTTATTTTCGCGATATTGCTCTTATCAATGGAAAATCCGTGATCGATCTTGCCGAAATGAAAAAAGGAAACCCTGTAGCAACGCGTTCGTGTGTATAACGAAAGGTGACTCATTGGCTTTCAGTCACGTGTATGCGAGTCCACGTGTACGTGACTGCATTTATACTGTATAACGATGCTCGCACACATCTGCACCAAGTCACGATTCACAGTGCCGTACACCTTCGAGGCAGAATCCGAGTTCGTATGAAAAATACTCGAGATTCCTGGTATCATCGATAACTCGTTATCGTTTAGTGATCTGACATAATCATGGCTCGAAAGCTTTGCTTATCGCTATCAAAGTCGATGTGAATCATTCTTTATTTTTAAGCCGTTCGACCCTGGCGCTAGATAGAGAAAGAACGGGTTTACTAACTGTGATTGGTGGAAAATATTAAGACATTGCGATCGTTTAAACAGTTTATTGGCAGAAGAAATTAGATACAACTTAACGTCTTAATTGGTACACGTTAACAGCGCTACTAATACTCTTGTATAACAGACTCGCTAAGTAATAATTAATTTTTGAAGCAATGATTGACCGCCTATTGTCAATGTCCAGGATAATTATAGAATTGGCCTGACTGCAATCACGTGCTTTACACCTTGTGACGACTCGAACTTTGGCGTTCAAAGTGAAAATTAATTACCGAGACGTTGGCGCTGTTTGCTTTTCTGAAATTAGACCAAGTTTCGATTAGAGCAGCCTTTTAGGAAGATGATTGATGACACTGAGGTTTCTGACCCGTCGTTTCCTCGTGTTTTAATAATCCAAATTTTAAATACAAAAATGTTTAAAATGGAAGCGATTAAGGCACAGGTATCTGGAGAACAATGCACCCCTCGGTGCGAGCATACGTACCTGTTCGCGCGAGGTAGCTCACCGGGTCTTCTCTGATAGCATACACACACACATATACATATCCACGCAAACACATGCGTGGAATGGCTCCGTTCGTGGCGTGGCCTCGCGTCGGTAGTACTCTCGTAGATCGCGATCGAGCGGTTTCGTGGGGACGAGCCGTTCAGTCTCAGCTCGTCGGCCGCGGTGAACGGATCTATCGAGCACGCTCGGTCGATCGCGCACGGTCAAAGCATCGTGTTTACTTCCGTCCCCCTGAATCGTGACACGGAGCGTAACCGGAAATGTTGTCGAAACGAGTCAGGCGCGGGGGACGTCGTACCCGCGTGCCAATGCTCTCCTGAGCAGAAAGAATAAAAAAAAAAAAAAGGAAAAGGAACAAAACAGGAAGGATATACAAACGACCCTGTATTTTCTACCCCTTTCGCACTCTATTCTCTTCTTCGTCTTCTTTCGTTCTTCGTTTCAACTTCGGTTCATTCGTCGTAGTGGTGGTTCCATGTGGTCGCACATGGATTACCCAAGGAGTGCGCGAGCTGGTGAATAAACGAGGACGAAGACGGTGCGTCGGTAACGTGATTTGGAAGGCGGTCATTGGTGCCGTCGTAAAGGCGAACCGGTTCGAGAGAGATCGGTTAAGGTAGGTACCATCGATGAACTACGACTCGGTTCCGGCCCTATTTTTCTACCTACGGGTACCATATTCGTCCTGGGATCGATCTGGACCTGATCGATCGCTTCTGCAGCGTTTCAGATGGTTAGCTCGATGGATCTTGAAGAGAGACTAGGTTTTGTGATTACCAGTGTCAATATTCTTGGAGAATCATATGTTTCCAATTTATATGGTATTAGGAAATTTTTCTGCATTTCATGACACGTCATCGAGTAATTAAAAATGAGACATATTCGACACGTGTTTTTTTTTCTTATCAGTGAAGATTCGTATCAGAATGAGAGCCAGTATTCGTTAATGATCTATGTAGGGTTACTATCGTGTTATCGCTCAGACTTGTTTGCTACAATCCTCTATTTACCGTTTGTCTAGCTATGTACTTGCCGAGTAAACAACCGAATGTAAGAATATAAGTGCTCTGCATTTTTTTTTTATCTCACTTCTTTTTATTTCTCTGTGACGAAAGAGGTACTATGAGGATCCAGCGTGACTGGAGGTATTCAAAAGCAGGCTCTGTTTTCCTCAGTATCGATGTCGAAAGTGGGAAGTGTGATAAGTCAAAGATCAACCGAGACACTCGATTTCACCTACGGTAGGCGAGAACGTTTTCTTAACGACCACCTCGAGGATGCTAGCCAGTGAAATTGCAAACAATTGATCCGAGTTTTACCTCAACAGTTTACATCTTGCCTAACTTTTATAGCCTTTTAACTGGTATTTTACGAACAGTTTAAATTTCATTCAGTCTTTCGTTCATTCATTCGATTCGACCGAGGTTTCTTCGCCTCCTGATCTATTAAACGTTTCTAACAACGTTGTTCCGTGTATCTATTAACAATCGAAGACAAAAGGAAGATATGTAGTAATGTCGGAGAGAGGAATGGAGCGGATGGAGAGAAGGCCGCGCGGAACGGAGGCAGCAGGTGCTGGCGCTACACCTGTCCGCGGGCTGAAAGCCCGGGCCCCAGCTTGTGCTCGCTGCTCGCCGCTCGAAGCGTCGAATTCCACGGCGTTTACTCATTCCAAACAACGAACCCGAAGACTCGACGGGGCCGAAGGAGAAACTCCGTGGCGGCGCTGCGACTCGTAGCCACTATAAGTAAAAGAGGGAAAGAGAAAGAAACGAAAAGGAGAACAGAGAGAACCGTGGCCAGAGCAGCCTCCTCACCTTCTAATATTAGTCGGCTGAGTCACTACGATTCGATCCTACGCCGTCCAACCGACCAACACTGTTTCCTAGAGTCCGTTGGCACGGCATTGACACGAAACCTCTGACCACGCGACCTGCTCGACTTCGTGCCTTCCCTTATCCGATACATTTTTTTCATATTTCATTTGATATCTTTCGGTGGCCAGGGTGTAATTAGCTAGGAAGGACTAATGATGGTATTGACTCTTGAACATCAAAGTCTAGGTCAGTCGAAACTCAAACTTACAAAACATATCTACAAGAATATTAATCGAAAATTTAATTAAAATCTGGTCTCTCTTCATGGTCCGTCATCCGAGGATTAAGATAAGTAGCGAAGGTTGACTCTGAAGTGATTGCACGTTTCTAATTTCTATATTGATAGTTGTAATGATAATTAGGCAGGTGTAACGATTCTTGTCTCAGAGATAGTGGACCTATTTTAAGTAGATTATTCCATAATCGATCAAACACGTTCTTTCTATCAGTCTATTTCTAATCTCTGCAGAGATTCAGTTCCGTCATTTTTGAGAAATCCAGTATGTATATACACGTATTGTGACACGTGCTTTAACATGAGCGTAACGAAGGTAACCGAGTCCGAGCCGTTTATGCGACACTTAATCCTTTATCAGGCACGAGTAACTGGCATCGCGACCACCGATTGACTCGATTAACCTTGGGAGGATGTCGTTCATAAGCGAACCTGAAATAATGGCCGCGACTCGCGTTGCATAATGATCTCGACGGTGCTCTGTTCGTTGCTCGTTCGGTCGAGAGTGAAAGCACGTTCCCCTCGACGTCTAGGATCGGCCTGCATTAGAATCGTTCGACCGGTTAGCCGTTGCAACACATGACAACAACTCCGCGTATCTTTTGTACACCGTGCAAGATAACGATGTAGGGACATACTTTACCTCGTTGTTCCCGACGTTTCAGGTGTACAATGCTTGATAATACGGGTCAACGAACTGCGAGATAGATCGTTTGGATCGTTAGACGGTGATTCTTTAAGATTACTTCGAAGATTGCGTTACAGTGCTTTTCCAGCAAGAGACGATTGCGTCTCTAACTGGCTCGTTGATGACACAAGAGAATTCCTTGAGAATTTTTTCAGTATCTAAAACCATGTTTGGTTTTCCTATTTCCTTGTGTTGTCAACCAATTAATCAGAACAGCTGATAACTTAAGCAGAGAAAGATAGGAAGATCGTACTATACTGCAAGTTAATTAATCAGCAGCTTCTTCGCGAAAGATAATTATCCTGGTAGCACCTGTGCAAGCGATGGAATATTTTAGTCGACGAGATCCGTGCGAAACGGGCTCACAAAATACGAAGATACGTATTTCGGTTGCTTGACTCATCGCCGTTCGTATTGCTATTTAAAAGCACGGAACCTCGCTAACCGATCCGTCGAATCCGATATTTACCTTAACGTCGCGATAATTTCGCGCTGAACACTGCCAACAAGTCGTGTTGCAGGTTGCTTATACTTTTCGATCGTATTAATTCATTGCCAGACATTGTTTACCTTTCAACCGTGATATTCACAGTTAATAAGTAAACCGATCGCTGTGAAAGACGACTATTAATAGCGATTTCCATTCATTTTTGTAATACGCGGATCCACGTATTTCAGGATGCTCCGTTTAAAGGCTGGAATCCGCTTGGTTGATCTCGTAGAACTTTCCTCGGAACGGTTCGCTCGTAAATTGACAGAGTTAACGAGCAGATATCCGGACAACGTGTGCTCTAGCTTTATCGTGGTTCATGGAAGGCTAGCAATAAGGAAGCGCGAGATTTCACGAGTCGTAGAGCGAAGCTAGTGACTCAGTGATTAGACTCTAATCGTTAGACGTTTCTTTAACTCGGCTATCGACGCGCCAGAGATTTCGTTTCATTTATCGTTTCGATAGATTAAAGGTCGCTGGCTCGGTTTTCTTCGCGATGGTATCGTTGACCTACGCACACGCGTAGATCCCTCGCGTTTTGCTATTGATAACCCGTTACAATTCGCGAAACTTCCAAAGCTGAATTGCTTTTAATATGAAAGACACTGGTTTTATGCACGCCTCCCTGAAAAGTTGCCTAATTAAATCGAAATTCATTGATAAAAACTGGTACCGAATTCCTTCTAACTGATCGAAAGGAATCTTCCACTAGCCAGAAAACACCCACCGCTCTCTCGGAATACTCGTGAACAATATCGCAATAGTTGCACCGTCGACATCTGACGAGATTCGTTCGTTCTTTTTCCAGCCTCGACGTCGTGCTCGCGTCTCGATATAACCACGACTGACGTCAAGAGCACGCATCAGCATCAACATCAACAACAACACCAGTACCATCGTCAGCAGTCATCGTCGTCAACGATGTCGACACTGGTGTGCTGCGAGCCGGTGTCGGCCTCTCGTTCCCGGGACAATTTGAAGTTGGTTCTGAACCGAAGCCTGAGCGAGCCAGGTCCGCCAATTGGTGCATCGTCTTTCTTGTCCTCGCCTACGTCGATCGTGTCGCCTAGCTCTTCGACCAGCAGCGGCGTCGACGTGGTGGACGGTAACGACTGCAACTTGAACGCAAGCGGAAGTAGTATCAGCGGTTGCAGCACGTCGAGCAGCGGTATCGAGTGCGATTTGCCTTTGACCGACGTTCATCGTCATTACCATCATCTTCATCATCACCACTTCCATCAGCACCAATTGTCCGCCTCGAAACGTTGCAAACTGGAAACCGTCAGCCTTCCATCGAGTCCTTGCTCGGAGAACAACACCCTGCAAAGGCAGCTGGTGTTGCAGAGGACTAAGACAATCACCGCGGATGACCTGGCACGTCGTCTTCTCGGCCACGAGGACAATGCACCGGTTCTCCTCGACTGTCGACCCTTCATCTTGTACAACGTGAACCATGTCAGAGGTGCCATCAACGTGAACTGCTCGGATCGGTTCAACCGACGCAGGCTGCAATTGGGTAAAGCGAGTCTTGCCGATCTGGCTACCACCAGGGAGGGCAAGGAGCTGCTCAGGAGGAGACACTACAGGGAGGTGGTGGTCTACGACGACTACACCGACGACATGGACCGACTGCCTGTCCAACACCCGCTGTTCCTGGTGCTGGTCGCCTTGCTGGAGGATAACAGGGAGCCTGCACTTCTGCTCGGTGAGTGATTTCACGTTCTAAGTGGTTCTATCTTTTTTATTTAGAGAAGCTTCTAGGGACGTTGGATGGAAATAGCTGTGGATCTGATCGTGATTTGTAACAGAGAGATTGAAAAAAATCTTATTCATTCTTTTTTTCAATTTAATGAAAGTTTGATAGGACTATCGCGAGTTTCGACACTACTCGTTATTGATAAATGTAGCGAAGTTACGTTATACGTTGTTTATGGTATATACCAGATATATTTAGTAGCTTGATAATTCAATTAGGACACACATAGCAATTTAAGAAAAAAAAGGAATTAACGGACTATCGATAAGGCTATCGTAATTTGGGATACACGAAATAGAAATTATTCCTAAGTTTCGAAAGAACTTGTCATCGATAAAGCAGCCGACCGTTACGTTGTTCATACACGATAGTATATAGATCCAAGTTTGATAATTCAATTAGAATACAGAGTGAATCGAAATTGCTTCGTCAATTTCGAAACAGTTTGATTGTCGATAAAGTACGCGACATTGTATTCGTTGTTTATATAAGATCACGTGGGAGCCGCTGACTTTCGGAAATAACGATGATGCGACGATCGCGAAAGTCGTTTCTGCGCCTTTTCTCCCGCGTTCTTTGCCGAATCATCGCCGCGTTTTATTTTCTAGAATCGCGCGGAAAATTTACGATCTTTCGAGCTTGTCTATGGTTCATTGTGCGAATTAATAGTTTCCTGTGATAGTTAGATCACTGTACGTGTGTTCGACAAAGATTGATAAACCCTTTCCGCGTCGACCGTCTATTTTTCCATTTGTAAACATATTTTTGCTGTCATTGTTTTGCATCGCAAATCTACCGATCCCGATAACGCGCGACTACTAGCTGTTCGCAGAGAACGACGCATAATCGTGATAAGGTAGGCGGAAAAAAACGAATACGATCGGAAACTAGAAATCTCTGACACGATCTCCTGAAATTTTCATCGTCTTCTTTGTCTTTCCGTTTGGTACGGATTTCTTGGAATTGATTCTGTACCGATTGAATAGCAATCGATCGCGGAGCAGGAAAAGGGAAAGAGAATTTGCAATTCGATCGAGGAGACTATCCGATTTTGAGTAGGTGGCGATTGCAAAGTCGCGGAATGAAACGGCGCGCCGCGATGCTCCAACTGCGACGCTCTCGGATGTATCGGTATCGCGAAATTCAGCGTTTGGCAAAGAGTATCTGGGAGAAGAAGGAGCCCGGTGGCATAGTGTAGTGCGCAAATTCTGGCCGACTATTCGCGGCGTCATCTACTTGTGAGTCATTCCTATGAATAGATCCCCACCTTTTGCCGCCGCGGGTTCTGTATATCGCCGCGGTGACTTCGGCCTCTTCGATGCCTTTTCTCTCTTCCTCCCTTTGTCTTTTTCCTTTCCTCTCTATCATTTTCCACCTTTGACGTTTGTCAACGTCGTATCGCACGATTCAAGAATTTTTTTTTTTTTTCATGTTAGCAAGGAGAATTACATAAATTTTCTCGTTTATTTTTCCTTTTCATTAGCATTCGCTTCGCGTTTCATTTCGAATGATCTAACGCTGTTTTCTTAGGAAAAAGAGGAAAGGATGGATTACGTGTATTCTTTGATCACCGTTTTCCGTCTTTGACCGCGAAAATTCAACGCGCACCGTTTAGATCTAATGATTATTTTTCTGGTACGAAAGAAAATTGAACGGTCTCGTTAGAACATCCTGACTACCGTTTCCTGTGTTTAGCGTTAACGTTGAATCCGATCTCTGGATTTCGAAGACCTTCATCCTCGATACGTTTCCACTTCCTCCAGCTTTTCATTATCGATCATTCTTTGAGCTACTATTTTCCTTTCACCCGTCATTTTTGTTTTTCAGTAAAGAACGATTTGAATGTTTCCGAAGGCTATGGTTCCTTAGTCACCGGCGATATTTTTGGAGGCCTCGTTTTTTTTTTCCTCTTACGTCTGCCCAATCATTCTGGAGGACAACTATTTTTTATTTTAGATTTTCAAAATGTTTCACTATATTTATGATATAATTGAAAAGTCGTTAATCAATCGAGAGTCGAAGGCGTAAAAGTTTCCGACTCGCGGCGCGTTTCAGCGGGGAGAAAAGCGTTTCGCACGAGTAATATTTGCGCATTACTCGAGAATGCATATGCGGAATTCGCAATGAGAAAAACGGTCAGCCTTAGAATTATGAAAAACCGCGTGACTCACGCGTTTGGATGGCCTTCTGCTTTAGACTTCCTTAGGCAGAAGTCGATCGCGGCACTCGTGGCTGATTAACATGAAAAAAAATTAACATTCAAGTTGATCGACCAACGTCTTAGAAAAATTATTAGAAAGTGAAAATAGAATAAGACTGTAGAATTAAATTTATCTCTTCCCGTCTTGGTCGACGAATATCTGTCGATTCGATAACCGATTGACAAATATCATTAGATAGCGTGCAATATACATTAATTAATCGTTATCGAGTGTCGAGCGAGCCACGTATCTGTGAAACCAGGTATCTTTCGATCGATTTCAGTGGTCACTCGAATCATTGGCTACCGAACGATCGGATAAGTGGGTCTAGATTCTCATCGAAATAATTGGATTAATCGAATGTGATTTCTTTTACAACCTGTACAGTTTTCTGTAATTTTAGTATCGTAATAACCCATGCAAAATTTCCATAGAAATAGAAAATTCGATAATTCGAGCTGATAGATTTTCAGCGACCTTAATAGATCGCTTTGGGTATCAATGATTGATAACAAGTTCGTGGTTAATTTCACATTTTCGTGTCAAAAATAACGTCAAGTCCCACGCGAATTATGAGAATATGATTTCTCGGTTTAAGAAAAGATTATAGTTAATCATAGCCAACCATAGATAATATACACTTTATCTAAGAATAGAGAAGCTCCACGTGTTACTGTGTTGTCAGAAATATTCGCGAGAGGGTTATTTTCTTCAGATTTCTTCGCACCACAAATTTCTTCGCTATAAATTTGATCTTTATTATTCAAGATACAATACACCGTTGAATATGAATGGAACATTTACGAGATAAAGAGATGTAGCGTACAGGGTGCCTAAAAATAGAAGACACCATGCTGACTATCTGATCCATGTGCTTCTGCGAACTGTCTCGTCGATAGAAATTTCCCAGCGATTCTCTGGATTTCTCGCGATAAATACTCCAAAATTTTCCAGCACTTCAGTTGCTTAATTCGTATATCAAATACACATCTGGCAAACTCTTTGCTCCTATCACCAAGTGTTTCATTCCTCCGCTTCGTAGAGTCTACATCAGAACTACAAATACTCGTTAAACAAACAATGCAAATCTTAAGTAACATCGAGTCCACGTGCTACTGCGTCGTTAGAAGTTTTCCAAGCGACCCGCTCGAACCATCGAGCAGAGAATAATTCGCGGTTCGCGTCACAGGGAGTCGTTTAAATTTATCTCCGATTTGCGTCACGCTTTCGGTTTATTGCCAGTAAAAGCGTTCCCTGTCCGGTCGGTCGAAGTCTCGCCGATTCTCCGTTGCGCGATCTGTCTCCTCGATCCTTCTATACGCAAAAACCGAAGGAAATAATCTTATACCCGGAGAAGGGGTTGAAATATCCTTAGAAGAGGGTAGATCCGTGCTGGGCACGTTTATCAGTCGCGATTAAAAGCAGCAAACAACACGCGGTCTAATCGCATTCGCGACGTCGCGTACAACACGCAGACGGTTCTCTTGCATAATTTACAAGCAAGACGCACATGCAGCCGCATGTGCACAGCGTGAACGCGATTCAAATCGCTGCGTCCTTATCTGCCAGCCGATATCGCGCGCCTCGTCACATCGTTCGAGCCTGCTGGCGCTTAGTTCATCGGTGAATTTAGCCGGCTTTGCTCTCTGTTCGTCTCTCGAGCCGAAGCTTTGTGCTCTTCGACGTCGTTCGAGAAACCAAACGTCTCTGTTCAGCCCGGGAAATAAAGCTGGTGATAAAGAAATCTTTAGAAGAAAAAAAAAAAGAAATATTTCAAATGAAAATGTTAATCAAGGTTCCATGTTTCTATACGATCTATTTCAAAGAGCTTAGCCATTGCTAAACATTAAGGTCAAAGTGGCAGCCAAGTCTCGTAATCCACGGCTGACTCACCTCTAAATATCTAACAGAGGGCGAGACAAGAGAAGAGAGAAGGGTGGTCAAAGGGGAGGCAGTCGTTATGCAACCGTGATTTTGACATACGGCACATCGCATCGGTGTTGCCCGCTTCGGACAGCGTAAACACGCCGCGGGGTTAATATACACCGTGAGTCACTCGGGAGAAAAGCACGATCCGAACGAACGACAGGACGTTGTACGACATTCTCTCGTTTGCTTTGCCAAAAAAGAAACCACCGCGACAGAGATCACTGCTGCTGCCCGAGACTGCGGGTATCCTCGATTCGACGAATATGCTAATGATCCACGCGAAGCGAACAGAGAGACGGTGTTGATGAGATAATACGATGATGTCTGCCTTCGAATTTTGCAATGCTCCGTTTCGATTTCAATTCACGATACACCGTAACGAAAAGAAAAAACAAAATTGTCGCTGTAATTGACTGGTTCGACTGGAAAATTTTGAATTTTTAAGTGCAAATCTCTTTGTACATTGATACACGAAAGCCCTCGCAAATCCATTGTTTTGAAGAACAGTTCAGATAAAGCCCACTTTCGCTTATTGTTAGATACGAAATTTCAGATCAAGCTGTTGATACAAATGATTAAAATTGTTCAAATTGACCTTCGATCTTTCCGGTCTCTCGAGATAAATCTCGAGTGTGCATCAACTTGATTCCTTTGTTTTCGATAAAAATTATATAAAAAGAAAGGTCTCGGAGCTGGACAATTTTGGTAATGGATCGGTTTCCAGAGAATACGATAACGAATCCCGTGGATGGTTCGAGTTTTCGCGCTATCTTCTCCGTTTCCGGCGGGATGGCATCGTAACCGAGGGCCACGTTCATT